TCTTAATCATTGCTATTATTAAATGAAAAATTGTGTTTTAAAGACTTATTTAAAGTATACTTTTCTCATATTTTCTCGATAAGAGGAACTGATAATGTTCGAACGTGTAAAATACAATTTCTTAAGAGTGAATCGTGGATTTCATTCTTGCAAGATTGAACTTAGTTCAATATAAACCACTATCGTACCCAGCAGAAAATAAAAAAAAAAATACGTAACCAACACCTTATTACTCGCTTAGAGATTTTTATTAAAACAAATGTTTTCGATCCATTCAATAGATCATCATCAGGCTAAATGGAATACTTCATAAATGGAACAAGTTCAAAATTCAAAAATACTAAAAACCGATGTACTACTAGAAACCTAGGTGTAAGGATCAGAGAACACAGGTATGATATTAGAAAAGGATCCAATACAACAGTATTGGCCCAGATGGCACAAGCAAGTTCCTTGGTTCGATGGGATGAAGTGGTAATCCTAAAACAGATACACTCTCAACTTTGGCAAGAACGGCTAAAAACTTACAAGAGGCACATGTACTCTAGTATGATGTAAAGGAAACTCTATTTAGTTAGGATAGACAGTATTAATACAGTAGAGCGTCGTTTATCCGAAAGTCAATTATCCCAAAAGAATTCCAGTCCGCAAATTTAAATTTTCGCCAGTGCTGTGGCGCTGCAATCTTTGGCTATGTCTAGGGCTACTCAAATATTTTACATTTTTTATACTAAATTAACATCTGAAGTACAATTTTTTATTCTTTTTATATTTTTCAATATATTTATTTTGTTTGTACAAAATAAAAAAAATAATTTTTAAAGATACAATAGTCTTCGTTAGGCTTAACATTGACGAAAATTCAACGCGAAGCGACACGTAACGGCGAAAAATTTCAACATGAGATAGGTTAATATATTTTTTCGTACACAATCGGTTATCCGAAATATCGATTTTTTCTAAACAACCCCAGTCCCAATTGATTCAAACAAACGACGCTCTACTGTATTTCATTTAGCCTGATGAGGATCCGTTGAATGGATCGAAAACGTTTGTTTTAATAAAAATCTCTCAGCGAGTAATAAGGTGTTGGTTATGTTTTTTTTTTTTTGTTTTTTGAACTTAGTTCTTCGCGTTTTTAGTTTGTTTTTGTATTTGCAGGGGAAGATTAACTAAATGGAAAAATAAAACGATTTCAATTAAATATCAGACAATTTCATATTCAATGTGTATATTGTACAGTCATTAAAATTTCTATTCTCTGCGCTAAATCATTTAAAATTTTTTTTTTTTTAACTTAGTTCTTCGCGTTTTTAGTTTGTTTTTGTATTTGCAGGGGAAGATTAGCTAAATAGAAAAATAAAACGATTTTAATTAAATATCAGACAATTTCATATTCAATGTGTATATTGTACAGTCATTAAAATTTCTATTCTCTGCGCTAAAACATTTAAAATTTATATAAATTCTATTTTTAAATTACAGGATATTTACAGAAACATTTACTAAAATACCAATAAATTTTTATGATGAAGTGTAGTTCGTGAATTTTATAAAAATTCTTTTAAAAGGATGTCTATACGAAAAATATCAATACAGAATGTAAATAATATGTAAAAAATAAGTTTAAACTGTAATTGTTATTGTAGATGTTTACATTAACTACCTACAATATGAAACAGAGAATAAAAGATTTTGACTCGTTCAAGCATGTAATATTTTCAGTCGACTGCAAATTTAACATTTTTCGCTCTGTTCATCGAACTGTGAATAGAATAACAATTGGCACAATTGTTATTCTATACACTTTTCCTTAAACATGGTGGAGGAAGTGTTATGGTTTGGGCAT